GCTGCTGCTTCTGTTGTTGCTGCTACTGCGGTGGTAGCATGTAATCGTCCTAACCCGTAACAGAAGTAAGAGCAATAGCAACAGCAACAAGGGTTGTCGCCGCCGCCGGCTTGGTAGTGGTGGTGCGCGTTCTGGTGCTGATGCTGAGCCGTGCGCTACTAAGGCCTCTTTTCTGCTGCGGCAGCTGGGCAGTTTGGAAACCCGGCTTTGCAAGCAATCGTTTCGTGGTAGCAGCCTGGAGTTCCCTGAGTTCTCTAATCTGCAGGTGGTTTCAATGGTCGCAAGCGCTGCGCAGCCGGGTGGGCCGCCTCAAATCCAAGGGGATCCTGTGGCTGTTTAGCTGATTCTGGCTACTGTGCTTGTAGGATTCAGCCGCTTTTACCGGGCTAGGGATCGACTGCCGGGTCTAGAGCTGCTTGAGGTGGAATCGTTTGGAGCAGCCGCACTTGCGGAGTGCCCAGAGGTCCAATGTCCGCCGGATGTATCGCTGAGAATCGCATCTTGTTCGTGGGCAGGCCGTCCGGCAACTGCCCACTGACACTTTCATGGAACTCCTCACAAGTGAGGACCTTTTGCCATGTCTGTTGGTGCTGCCAGATGGAAGCAGTCAAACGCACAAGTGACGCAAGTGGCAGGATCTGTGCGTGGCGAAGGAGGAGGAAGTTTTCGAGGCCGTTAAGGCTGGGACTCAGTGTGCCGATGAGTGTATACCTCAGGTGCAGTTGCGGGCGAAACATCAATATGAATGCTACCTCGTATGCTGCACAAGACTGAAGGATATTCCATGTTTGCCAGCGAACATCGTTAGGGTTTCTCAGCCAGCTGTTCAGTCTGACGGATGAACTCCAGAAGAATGGATGAACGATACTGGGTCAACCTGCAAAAGCAGAAGCAGAGTTGACAAAAAAAACGGGTTGCCGTTTAAGAGCCAAGGGGCTTTCATGCTTGCAAGATGCTGTGCCCAATTTGACTATCATTTCCAATCTGGATCCCAGATCTTTTGGAGGGCAGGCCACCGTGCTTCCAACCATATCCAGACTGTCCGGGGCGGCGGGGCGGGGCGGGGCTTGTTATTGAACCTCAAACAACAACACCCAACAACACCATCACATATCATGGTTCCATTTGCTTTTCCACTCCCCTACATATTCTGAAATAACCGCTTTTGGGCGGCTTTATTCTCAGTAGGAAGGGATTCTCTGAAATTGGCCTGAAAGACGATACAGGCAAGTAGAGGCCTCGCCCTCCTTCAGGATCCATCGCTGCCGCTACACCTCATTTCAAGACATAATCATAAACCTGTCACCACGATAAAACACCTTGAAATCCGCAATTGCAATCGTTAAACTGCTGGCTGGGCGGAGAAGGTGCCATAAAAGAAAAGGAAATGATCTCAACCCCAAAATCCCCAAAACCCCAAACTCCAAAGCC